GGGACAGCGAGGACCGGATGCAGGGGACCTCTGGGGATGAGCAGGGCGGGATGTGGGGGACGCTTGGGGACGGGGAGGGCGGGATGTGGGGAATACCTGGGCAGAGGGAGGGTGGGATGTATGGGACAGCTGGGGACAAGGAGGACGGGATGTAGGGGAGGGCAGGAGAAAGCGGGGGAGCTGGATGTGGGGGCGCACGGGGACCGGCAGGGGATTTGGGGGGCTGCACGGCCATGGGGTTTGGAGGCGGGGAGTGGGCACAGGACGGGAACGGCACACGTGTCCAGCAGTGCACGCACATGCCTGAGCGTGCAGCCAGGAGGGTGATGGGCTGGGGGTGCCCGTGTCCCCCTCTGCCCCCCCCCCCAGGTTGCTTCGTGGATGACAACGGGGTGGAGTTTCCCATCGGACAGATCTGGTCTCCGGGCGATCCCTGTGAGTTATGCATCTGCCAGGTGAATGAGAACCTGCTCTGCTTCACTCCTCCTACCTGCCCCTGCCCCGGCGCACGGCTCCTGTCCCCCTCCTTCCCTCGGGATGCCGGGCTCGTGGCCGTGGTCCCCAGCAGCTCCCCGGCTTCGTGGGCTTTAAACCCCGCGGTTTTGGGCAACCCAAGGTCTCTGTCAAGTGCTTCTCCCCTGCAGGCAGACGGCTCGGTGAGCTGCAAGCGGACGGACTGCGTGGAGACCTGTCCCTACCCCATCCGCATCCCCGGGCAGTGCTGCCCCGACTGCTCGGCAGGTGATGGGGGCGGTGGGTGCTTGTTGGAGGGGTGCTGGCTCCACTGCATCCCCTCCGCATCCCCTGCCCGCAGTCCCGGGCAGGACCAGACCCAGCAAGCCTGGGCTTAAAGCAGAGAGGTCTCCCGGTGGTCCCCAAGCCACCTGGGGACCACAAGTGCCCCTCTCCTCCCCGCAGGCTGCACCTACATGGGAAGGATCTTCTACAACAACGAGACCTTCCCCTCCGTCCTGGACCCCTGTCTCAGCTGCATCTGCTTGGTGAGGGCCGCGCCGGGGACGGCGAGATGTTTTCGGCTCCTGCCCCGTGGGCTGAGCCCCAGTTTTTTCCTCCGTTGCAGGAAAAAGCTCCCGGGCGTTTCGGGGCTGCCCCCTTTTCCCCAGCCCACCCCGGCGGGCGCTAACGCCCGGCCCTCGCGCGTCTCTCCCGTCTCTCGCAGCTGGGCTCGGTGGCCTGCTCGCCCGTGGACTGTGCCATCTTCTGCACCTATCCCTTCCACCTGGACTGTGGACTGTGCCATCTTCTGCACTTCCACCCC